ACCGTGCAGTCACACTCGCGGGCTTTTCCCTGCAGCCCGGGGTGACTCTGCGGTACAAACCGGCGCTGAGGCTCAGAGAGGTAGAGCGTCCTGCCCAGGGTTACACAGCCCGGAAGTCCGTGCCCACCGACAGCACAGAGTGAGGAGGGGGAGGAAAGAGAGACCTGGCCCTGGAGTAAAATAGACTGGAGTCTAGTAGAGGGAAGAAATGGGGTGGGAGGGACACACCAGTAACCAGGTAGCCATACGCTTGCCCTTTGACCTAGCCAACCACTCTCAGGGGATAACCTCCAGGGCGCATGGGCGAGAGTGCCTGATGGGGGTTGGGTTGTATTAGGGGAAAACAAAACAACCTAAATGCCCAACAGCCACTGGGCTCGGGACTGGCTGAGTCTGTTCTGTTCTGGTGTCCCTGGAAACGTTCATGAAGAGGAAGGAGGCTTAAGTACATTTGCACAGATTCGGAAAGATGCCCAGGACTTGGAGTGGGTGCCCGGGCGCAGCGGTGCCTCTAGTCTAACCCCATATGTGGGAAATTAAAAGGGAAAGAAAACAGGTATTAATGTAAATGTAGAGGGAAACTGGAAAGCTTATAAGAAAAGGCATTGAAAGACACGTGGAAGGACAGGGTGGTGCCTCTGTTCATAGAGAAGGTGAAAAAATCCACTATGTGCTGTTACTTCTGCAGAGCAGGTTTGAGCGGATGGAGATGGAGGAGGGGGGAGGGGAGGGGGGTCTGACTTTCCTTTTCCTTTTGCACAGGTATTGACTCAGCTCTTCCACTTTGGCATTTTAACCTACAGATTTGCTCCCATGTGTGGGAGATATGGGAACGTTATTCACGGCATCACTGGCTGGAAGCGTGAAAGACTGGAAACAACCTCAACACCCATTAACTGGGAATGGAGAAATAAATGTGGGGACAGCCAGACAGTGGGACATCATAAAGCTGAAGGAAAGAATGAGCAAGTGTGTCATCGAGTTAGGGAACCATTTCCAGGATAACTGAAAAAAAACAAAACAAAACAAAAAACTAAGGTACCAAGGAGTGGTAAGCACCTTTGGGGTTTAAGAAGGGTAAAAAAAGGGACTATGCATATGTATTTGCCTCTGCTGCAGGCGGGTGTGTGGCTGAGGAATAGAAGTAGGAGGGAGATGTTCTCCTATATATGACGTTATGCCAACCTATTCTCGAGACTAAAATGAGTCCAGCTAGGGCAGGAGGAATTTCCCCTTGACCCCAAATGATGCTGCAGGAAGAGGAAGAATTTGGACACTCTCAGATTCTGGAATTTTAGCTGTTTCCATGGGCCAAGAGCTTATTAATGACATCCTCCATCTTCACTGGTTTCTGGACACCTAGTGCCAATTCAGAGTGATTGATAGTGTCCCAGTCCTTGCCCTCCCCACCTGGGGTCAGGGAATAAGACTAAGAAGATACACACACTAACATTAACAGCCCCCAGATCACAGGGAGCTGCAGGAGCCTTATGCCTTTATTCCTGACCCAGCACACGACCAACAGTAACATCGCACCCCATCCACAGGCCTGTGGCTACTTCCGTGTGTGGGTTTTGCTTCCTCCAGCAGCCTGACCTTGGCAGTTTTTTCTCCACTCAGCTCAAAACCGAGATGAAATCAGCTTCAGATGTCCATGTCTCTGCCTTATCTGTACCCCATGACTCTTTGTAATTTAAAGTGTGTTTCCATGTGTGTATTTGCTTATAAATGCAGAGACTGTCTGCTGGTGCCAACAAGAAACTGGTAACTGCTTGCTTCTGGGAAGGGGAGTTGGTGGATGAGATCAGATTTATTTATTTACAAATAAGTAAGTTGAATTAAAATGTACTGGGTGAATTATATGGTGTGTCAACTGGAGTTCAACAGAGCTGTTAAAACTTTACAAAATAAATGAAGGAAGAAAGAAAGAGAAAGATAGAAAGAATGGAGAAATAATTAGGGTGCTCTGAGCCCCAGGAAAAGCCCTGTCCTGTGTCCCCACCCAGGGCTGAATAGCACTGGAGTCACAGAGGCAGAAGAGCCTTGCCCTGGACTCCTGGACTGGTGGGAGACAGTTTTGTGACAGGGTCATCAAGGAGGGCCCCCAGGGGGCTGCAGGCCTCAAGGAGGCCCTGACCTCACCCAGGAACAGGGGTCAAGGTAGGATGACCAGGGTTGTGAGCCCGTCTGGCCAACCTCAGGGCCCCCCAGTCTCAGCCCGGCCCCTGTGTCCACCTTCACTCTCAGCTTCAGTCTTATCTCCAACCCTAGTTTCTGTCCTTACCCCAACTGTGGCCACGTCCCAGGTCTAGTTCCAGCCCTAGTCCCCCAAAGGCCCCCTCACTCCAGTCTTAATCCAGGCCCCTAGCTCTGGCCCCAGCCCCCGTCCCAGGCACTAACCCAAGTCCAGCTTTCAACCTTGGCCCCAGCCCAAGCCCAGCCTTGGCTCTGATGCTCACCCAGGGTCCCCAAACCCACTTGGGTCCCAGCCTGGCCCTGGTCCCCGCCCAGTGCTGGGGGCCAGTGCCCACCTGTTGCGGCCCTGCAGCCGGTGCAGCTCATGGCCCTGCAGCAGCAGCTGCTTCTCCAGCTTGTTGGTGGACAGTGAGGTCTCCAGCAGCTGGATCTCCATTCGCGATGTCTGGTTCAGGACCTGCCCCGGCAAGTGGATGAGGGGAGCTACATAAGCCCTGCAGGAGCCCTGCCCAGCAGCCACACACCTGCCCTCGGGCCCTGCCGTTTCAGAAACTTGATGACTTATTTCCACCCTCCCACCTGTTAGTTCCTGTGGCTGTTCATTAAGTCATTCACTCACAGGCCCTAACTGAGCTTATGATATGTTTCCTAAGTTTGCTGTTCCCTGTCACTGTGCCTGATAGTGCCACTTCTCCTGCTGCTCAGACCCCAGGAGGAGTCACCCTTGACCTTCCCCGCCCCAACAGCCAATCCATTAGCAATTCTCATGAGTTCCGCCTTCCAAATGGGTACCTGACCACTTCCCTGTCCCTCCACAGCCCCAGTCTGGCCCCGGCCTCCATCATCTCTTGTCCTGTGTCCTGTGCCAGCTCCTTACTGGGCTCCCTATTTCTGCCCTTGCCCCCTACACACCGTTGTCTGCTCAGTAGTCTGAGACAAACATTTAAAATGTGGCCCCTCTGCTCAGAATCTTTCTGTGGCTCCCACCTTACCCAGTGGTGGCCTGCAGCACCCTGTGATGCCTTCTGCCTCCGTCGCCTCTCTGACCCCTGGCCCACCACTCTCCCCTGGTCATTCCAGCTACACTGGAATGACCTCTGCAATACTGTTCTCCCTGTCTGACAGGCCCTCCCAGTAAGCCTGGCTCCAATCCTCCCTTCCCAATGCCGCCTTCCTGGCTGTACCAGCTCAACTTGCAGCTCATCCCTCCCACCACTCCCAGCACACACTCCCCACTGGTCCCTCGCCTATGCTCCTTTCTCCCTAGTGCTTTCACCATTTCATACACAGATCTTACTTATCTTGTCTGTTTTCTTGGTGCTCATTAGAAAGGAAGCTCCGCAGGGCTAAAGATGCAGGCCTGTTTTATTTACTGCTGTAAACGAGAACCAGGCACTTCCAACACTGCCTGGCACGAAGTGGGGTTTAACAAACACGTGCCCATTTGTCGGTGATCTTTTCAGCCATTCACTGACTCGTTTGTATACCTGTCCCCTCCCTCGCTTCCTGCTGCTCCCCGTGGCCTCTTTCAGAACCTACAGCCCCTGAGGTCTAATGATTTGTTTATTACCCACTGTACCCTCTTCCTCTGGGGCACTGTGAGCCCCTGAGGGCAGAGGGGGATGTGAAGTCACAGAGGCATAGAGCCAAAGCCACCCCCACCCCCTCCAGGCTCCTGGCCTGGTGGGAGACAGTTTTGTGGCAGGGTCATCAGGGAGGGACACCAGGAGGAACAGGCCCAGAGGAGGCCTTGCCCTCACCCAGGGACAGGGGTCAAGATGACCAGGGCTGTGAGCCAGCCTGGCCAACCGCAGACCCCCAGTGCCACCCCCTCCCACTCTGGTACCTGAGCTTCCACGTCGGTCAGCTTGCGGGTCTGGGCAGTGGTCTGGTTCAGGAGGCTGCTTCCCAGCTCCAGCATGGTGGCCGTCTGGTTCTGGACCATGTGCTGCTGGGCCTGAGCCAGCTCCAACCTCAAGTTCATCTGGATGTACCTTTCTATCTGTGGGAAGACAGTGTGCTGGCGTCATGGGTAGGGACTTGGGGAAAGCGCCTCTCCCTTCATTATGGCCCCATCAAAGGACACAGAGCAATCAGGGGAGGCCGTGCTACCAGGTCAAGTCACCATGACCTCTTGCCTAGACTGTTTCAGTAGCTTTCTAACCCTAGCCTCTCTGCCTCCATCCTTTCCCCATCCACAGCCCATCCTCCACTCAGCTGCTGGAGGAATAGTGTTAAACCTAAGTCAAGTCACATTCTTTCTCTGCTCAAAACTCTGCCACGGTTTCTATCTCACTCTGAGGGAGAATTAAATTCCTCCCTGCAGATTCTTCCATGACCTGGTCTCCTGCTACAGCTCTGATTTCCTTTCCTGGTACTCTCTCCCTCACTCTGCTCCAGACACACTGGCCTCTATGATACCCCCTCTATAGCAAGGATATGCCTACCGCAGGGCCTTTGCACATGCTATTCCCTCTGGCTGGACACCCCTCCTCCAATCTACATGGTTCACTCCTTCATGTCATTTCAGGTCTCTTCCTACCACTTATCACTCTGTGACTTTGTATTATATATTTATCTGTTTATTGCCTGTTTTATTTACCCTGAAGCCAAAGGCTTGGGCTTGCTTACCACTTTATCATCATGTTTAACACAATGCTTAGCACACAAAGGGTGCTCAAAAGATATATGTTCAACTAATTGATGAAAAGGGGAAACAGCAAGGGTCAGAGCATAGCCCCCAATGTCATGCCCACTACCCAGCCTTCTAGGGCTGAGCCAGCAGCAGGAAGTGAGGCCACATCTTTCCCATACAGGAGTTTGTGGGTCCATCCACCACGCTGGACTTTCTATTTTCTGGTCCCTTCCATCTGCCAAATGGGGCTGAACTGGCCAGTCTCCAGGGGTTCTCCCAGCTTGGATGTTTTCGGATCTGACAAGCTGATGTTCATTTCTTTGACAGGACTGCTCTCTTTCCCAAGAGCAGGAGAAGCTGGTCCGGAGTGAGACCAGGATCAAATTGCAGAGGTGAACAGCGTGTTCTCAAGGCTCAGTGCCTAAGGTCAGAGCGCCGGTGCCCCTCCTCCACTCCCTCTCCATTCGGCACACTTGCTGGCCTCTCGCCACAATCTCTACCCCCGAGCCCTGGCTCCTTCCCTTCCTCTGTCACTCAGTCTTCCAGGAGGTCCAAGGGCAGCTCCCAGTGTCTCTGGGAAGACTGGTGCTCCCCTGGGAAAGATGGTGACCTTGGCTGGGGTGGGGCCTGGCTCCAGCTGCTTATTCCCTCTTCTCAACTGTCTGCTCCCATACCTTCCTCCCTGAGAGCACTTGAAGGGGCACGGTCCATTGTAGTGCAACCTCACATCCTGAAAGGGGCGCACATAGCACTGATTAGAGCAGTGGTTCTCAAAGTGTGGTCCTTGGGGCAGCATCACTTCCGAGCTTGTGAGAAATGCAAGTTTCTAGCTCCCACCTCAGACCTACTGAGTCAGAAATTCTGAGGAGGGGCCCAGCCATCAGACGCTCACTTGAGTGTGAGAACTCATAGTGTAGAGGTCACAAAGGGGCCCAAGGACCAGAGAGAGAAGCACGTCCAAACTTCTCAAGCGTCTGTCCCGGTGGCCCCATCCTTCCTCCTCTGCACCATCAGCCCCCCACGCGCTGTCCCCTGCAACAGACAAATGTACGTCAATGGCTCCCATCCAAACATTAAAGAAAAAATATCTCTAACTCCACAGGGCCCTCCAATTTCTCTGCTCCTCCAAGTAAAAAAACTTCTTGAACAAGTTGCCTCCATTTATTCACCTCCATCCTCACTCTCACCTTTTAAAAAAATTAATAATATTATTATGGTGTACTTCACACATACAAAAAAGCATATAAAGAATAATATAATAAAATCTGTGTATTTACCACACTCAAGAAAAAAATATAGGCCATATTGTTGAATCTTATGACACACCGACCTGCCTCCCAGGCCTGGGGAGCCCCCCCACTCTGTAACTCATAGCCGCCCTTGACAAGGGAGAATCAAGGGACACTTCTATGTCCATCTCTGGGTTTGAGTCTGGGCTCTGCTACACTCTGGCTGTGGACCTCTAGTAGTGGAGGGGTACACTTCTCTGAGCTTCAGTTTACCAACCTGTGACATGGGGACAGTAAATCCTGCTCCTTGTTGGAGAGGGGCATTTGAAACGGGCCTTGAAGGAAGGGAAAGGGTTTTTGACAGGCAGGGGCTGGGGGAGGGGAGGAGGGTGTTCCGGACAGACTACAGACGAGCCTGTGGGGATGCGCAGTCCCAGTGACCAAGGACAGCTGCTCGGGCCTGCTTGTCTCCTGTATGATCTAAATACAGGAGACTTCAACTGGATAAACGACGGTGGTCCATTCCTCTAGCGGATTCTGCTCAGCAATAAGAGGCATGAACTGGTGATTCATGCAACACTCTGGCTGAATCTCTGATGTATTACACTGCAGGAAAAAAGCCAGACTCAAGAGGCAACATATGTAGGATTCCATTTATTTGACTTTCTGGAAAAGTCAGAATCTGTGGCTGCTGGGGCTAGGGCCTGGGGGAGGGGATTCACTGCAGAGGGACTCGGGGGAACTTTTGGGGGTGTTGCCAGTGTTCTGTATCATGACTGTGGTGGTTACGTAAGTGTATACATTTGCCAAACCTCGTGGAGCTGTACGTTAAAAGGGTGAATTTCACTGTGAACTATGTCTCAATAGAAAACAAACCCACCAACACAAGGTTCTAGAGGATATTCTATATAAAAATATGCATTATAATAATAAATAGATTTCCTCAAATGAATCCCTCACCCTCTGTATGTCATTGAATTATTACTTGAGCATCTACTATGTGCTAGGTCCTATCCTAGGTACTAAGGAATCAGGAATGAACAAAATCGGCAAGTTTTCTGATTTCGGGACACTTCCACTGACTACATCAGTTAAATTCCAGTAGTGATGAGTGTTATGAAGGAAATAAGATGGGGTAATGAGTGGGTACAGCCAGGTTTAGCCAGAGTGGCAGGGACATCCACACCAGAGGGAGTCATCGGAGCTGAGAGGTTGTGAAGGAGTCCGTGGTGGGAAAGTCAGGAGGAAGGGAATTCCAGAAGGAGGGATAGGCAAGTGCAAAGGCCCTGAGGTGGGAGTGTGCCTGGCATGTTAGAGAAGCAAAAAGATGATCAATAAAACAATATGCCCTACCTGTCCCTTTCATGGAAATGGTGCACATGGTTCATGTTTGGGAAAAACATTTTGTCAACTGCAGATAGAAGCCAACACAGAAAGAAGAGTGCCTTGAATATGATGAGCCTGGGTTGGAAACCCAGCTCTCAGCTTAGTGGCTGTGTGACCTTGGGCAAGCACCTCTACCTGGCTACGCCTCTTCTCTAGAGAGGGGATAAGCACAGCTCCTACCTCCAGGGTGTAGGGAGGTTTCCTGACCCGATGCATGTAAAGGGCCGGGAGCATGGTTATGTGATCAAAATGTGACAAATTCTGGTAGGTCTGTATGTCCGTGTCATGGGTTACCAAGCAGCTGTAAAAAAGAATGAGGTCGACCTTCATCAGGGGCAGATGTGAAAAGATGCCCCAGACACACTCTTGAGAGAAAAGAGCAAGATGCAGAACATCACCTACAGTTTGGACCCATGTGTGTAAGAAAATTGCAAGTGATTATTTTTACATGTACTCAGATAAAGACCTTGGAGACAGACTCTTAGCGGTGATTTGCTTGCGGGGAGGAGATTACAATGGAAGTGATGGCGATGGTGTTTTCACTTTACATTCCATACCTGTAAATTGTTTGGATTCTAAAAAGATAGAATGAAGATGTATACAGGCATAACTTATTTTATTGCACTTTGCATATGTTGCATATTTTTACAAAGTGAAGTTTTGGGGCAACCTGGTGTTGAGCAAGTCTCTCTGTGCCATTTTTCCAACAGAATTTGCTCACTTCATGTCTCTGTGTTGCATTTTGGTAATTCTTGCAATGTTTCAAACTTTTAAATTATTATTATATTTTTAATAGTGCTCTGTGATCAGTCATCTTTGATGATACTACTGTGAAAAGACCACAACTTGCTGAAGGTTCAGACAATGGTTAGCATTTTTTAGCAAGAAAATATTTTTTAATTAAGGCATGTACTTTTTAAAAAGATATAATGTGATTGCACATTTACTAGATTACAGTATAGTGTAAGCATAAGTTTTATATGCACTGGGAAACTGAAAAATGCATGTGACTTGCTTTATTGCAATATTGGCTTTATTTTGGTGGTCTGGAGCCAAATCCACAGTATCTCCGAAGTGTGCTTGTACAGATATAATTAACATATCTAAAAGCCAGTTTTTATCAACCAGGAGTTCTTAACAGATGTCTCTGGAACCCCGAGGGATCTGTGAATAGAATTCGGGGAATCTATGGACTTGGATGGGAAATTGTGTTTTGGGTTTTGCTTTTTTGTTTTGCTAACCTCTAACTGAAGCAAGCTTTCCTGCAGTGATGAATATAGGCCACAAACGACTGCAGTGCTGGTGGCACCTGTGACTTCGTCGTCAGTAGAAATCGTAGATACTCCTGTGTCCCACCACGGTGTTGTGGACATTTACATCATATTGTTTATACTCATTACAACCTCGAAGTGATGGAAGGTACTAGGTCCATCATCAGGTCTTGTTATTTAATGGGTGAATACAGAAGCCATATGTGGCTGTAACACAAATCCGTTCTTAAAGATACTTGATATCTGTATCTCAAGGCAATTTGTTCCCTTTGTAAACCTGTACCTTTAATTTTATGTTTTTAAAGACATGCTTCAGAGAGAGGGTCCTGAACTTTACCAGATGCCAGAGGGGCCCTGGGCCCAGGAAAGTTGAGATCTCTGAAGATTCCTCCCCCACAGGTCCCAGCCCAGTGCCCGCCCACTAGACCACTAACTCCAAGAGTGCAGGGGATTTGCCTGTCTTTTCTTCTGCTGCCTGGAA